GAGATGGCTAGTTTAGATAATTTGATGTCACTCTATTTTGATGGTAAGAAGACCGCCACTCGTGTGATGATAAAGAATGAGAAGACCGAGAAATGGAGTTCGAGGATGATGGTGAAAGATCATTATGTCATCATGGTTGAGCCTGGCAATGAATATCTCACACATGTGACTCCCAAGACTGGACACGAAAGCAGATTGCCAAAACTATTCACGAGTTTCTGGTGGAGAAAAATCTAACCCAGCAGCCCATTGTGTGTGTTGGTTGTGATGGAACCAATGTAAATGTAGGATCAGAAAATGGAGTCATTCATCATCTTGAAATGTTACTTGGTCACCCGCTCCATTATTTCATATGTCAGCTTCACGGAAATGAGCTGCCTTTCCGCGCAGTTTTTATCACTATGATGGTAAACCAAGTGGTCCTGAGCATTGGCGTGGTCCCATTGGAAAGCAGATCAAGGAGTCTTTGTCTGAGCTTCCAGTTGTCGCCTTCCAGCCAGTCAGTTTCCCTGATTTCCCTGTGTTTAATGATGAAGTGGAGAAAGATCTGTCCTGGGATCAGAAATACCTGTATAGGATTTGTAAAGGAGTTATCACAGGTGTTGTTGAAGATGACTTGGCTGCTATTGAGCCAGGTCCTCCCTGTGTGTCAAGGTGGAACACCTTATGGAGTAGAATCCTCAGGCTGTATGTAGCAACATCAAGACCCAGCCATGAGTTGAAAAGAATTGTCATTACAATAATAAAGTTCAGTGCTCCAATGTGGTTTTACATCAAGATACACCCTTACGTAACACACGGCTCAAGGAACGTATTCCAGTCCCTGCTATATATGAAACACCTGAATAGTGAGGAGGAGACGATAGTGAAGAAGGCTGTCCAGAGAAATGCATACTTCGCCCACACAGATCAACTTCTTCTTGGTATGTGTGCAGATGAGGACATGACTGTTAGAGAAAAAGCTGTCTCAATGATAAGAAAAATTAGAGAGGAGAATCAGCAAAAGGAAGAATGCACTGGCAGATCTGAAGAGGAGGAGGAAGATTCTGATGCTGCTGTTGACGAGAATTTGTTAAACTATACTGATGAGGAGGGTAAAGATGGAGATGGGAATGAGGATGTGGCTCCTGTAGTCAACATGAGAAAGGTGGTGACTCCGAAACTAAAGTGGCAAGCAAAAAACTATCATTCCATGATTAACTGGAGGAATGAACTCAAGACTGAGCCTCCTTACATTGCTTCTCTGTCAAATCTACAGGTTAATGACATTCTTGAGACACCATTAGTGGTGCCCAAGTGGCCAAACAGCACTCAGGCGGTCGAGAGGCATAAAAGTGATGACTGAAGCTTGCACTGAAGTGACGGGATACGAATCGAGAGATGGATATATAAGGCAAAGATTATTGTCTAGGAAAATGATGCCAAGGTTCCGCACAAAAAAGAATTTCAATATGAACTTGTAATGATTTTCTATACGGTGTACCTGTAAAATAACATGTGAATTAAATCGATGTCACCCATGTAAAATTTATAATTATCCTGGAAAACATTAAATGACACCTAATTTTTGGTATACACTAAAAGTTGACAAAAAGTCGTCCGCGATGCGGCAGGGTAAGTATGCATGAAATGGCATGAAATTTTGCACAGGTGTTTGTTACAGCCATACAAACGATGCCTGAAAAGTGCAGCCTGCAACTCAAATAAAAGTGTTTTTTCCCTGCCCCCTAGTGCGCAGTATGTCGCAGTATGCCGCCACGCGTGACGAATTGTTGCCACAGACAGCTGCCCCCATGCCTCCACCAAGAAATCAACAGCTTTCTTGACATTAAACATCTTCCAAAACTGTTTAACTCGCACTTCATGCTCCGCCAACTCTTCTTCTGGATCCTCGTCCTCGCTCTCGTTATCGGTGCCACTCAGAATGTTCTGCAAGTCATCCTTGGTGTTGGTGAAGTCGTCCAGGAGCCGAAATTTCTTTGCGGAGAAAGCAGCCTTGACATTACATATCAACTCCTGATCCATGGGCTGGATTAACGACGTAGTGTTGGGAGGAAGGAAGACCACTTTTACACTGAGGTGACGATCCAACAGTAGGGGCGAGTGTCCTGGTGCGTTGTCAAGGAGCAACAAAATGTTGAACGGCACAATATTTTGCGCGCAGAATTTCTTTACATCAGGAACAAAACAGTCGTCAAACCAGGAGGGACAGACCAGTGAACATCCACGCCTTCCTTGAGGTTAGCCAGTGGACATTTAGCTTGGTCATGTCCATGTTTTTGTAGGCATGCAGCTTGCGGGCTGTGTGGATCACAGACAACTTGAGCTCACAGGTGCCGGAGGCATTGGTGGTGAACAGGACGGTGATGCGCTCCTTCTGCAACTTCCGGCCCCTACACTTGCTGGCAGACTTGACTATGAATGTCTTGGAAGGTAATTTCTTCCAAAACAGCCCGGATTCATCCATGTTGAACACCTGGTCGTCGGTGTACTGTCCTTCTTCCATAATTTCTCGTAAGAATGGAGGAAAATCTATGGCGGCAACACGATCAGCAAACGCTCCTTCACCAACAATGTTAATGTTCGTGATCTTGTTACGACGTTTAAACCCTTGCAGCCACCCAGCGGAAGCATTGAAGGGTTTGGGCTCTGCAATTCCCATCTTTCGCGCCACTGACACGTACAGTTTAGGGTTTCCTTCCCGGGATCTCGGGATCAAGTGGTTATGTTTTTTTTTCCCGGGAATTTGGTTCAAATCCCGGGATTCTTATTGTTATTCCTTATCTCTTATTTGCACTGTGTAAAATACAAAAACGCATGAATGTTTGAAGTAAGTAATGAGGAGGAATTACCAAATTGGCAGCCACCAACTAAGGATAATATGGAAATATCTGTAGAAGAACAAATGACATTCACAGATAAACTCAAGGCAGCAATAGAACAGGTTCAGAGTAAAAGTAGAAAGGTGTATGAATGCAAACATATTAGGAAAGAGTTCAATGTGTTTGAGGCAACAGGAGAGAGAACACATAATTTAGAGAAACTATTCCAGGCCCTCATCTCAGTACCACCAACTTCAGTTGAAACCGAAAGGGCATTTTCAGCTGCTGGCCTATTTAATAAAAAACTAAGAACAAGGCTCACTGACCGCAGTATTGACTGTTTGTGCTTCTTGAGGAGTTATTTCATGAACAACTATTAGTGTGTGCATGGCTTTGTGTGTGTGCAAATGATTCTATTCCTTTTTTTTCGCAGGTCATTCAAGTGTTCTCTTTAAGTTTTTTGTAGAGTAGGGCTTCCAATTGGCATAGAATAATTCTTTTTATATAATGACTAACTTTGAATGTCATTCCAAATATCATTGAGTTTCTTTTGTGGCTAACATAATGAGATTGACTGTTTGTGCTTCTTGAAGAGTTATTTCATGAACAACTTTTGATGTGTGCGTGACTGTGTGGCTTGTGTGCACAAATGATTGTATGCTATTATTTTTTTCACAGGTCATTCAAGTGTTCGCTTTAGGTTTTTGTAGAATGTGGCTTCCAAATGGCATTAAATATAGAATTCTTATTTTTTATAATAACAAACTTTGAATGCCATTCCAAATGTCTGAGTTTCTTTTATGGCTAACGGAATGAGATTAATTAAAATTTTGCTTGTTTAATCATATTATGTACCTATTTTTACACCAGTATGCAAGTTAATAAAGATAACTTTGCTTCAGTGTAATATAATTTATCAAATCAATTGCCTATCAAATAATCTACAGATACTACACTAATGAAGTACAGTATAGGGTTAGCATATAGCATTAGTTAGTACAAATATCACCTGATGCGGGAAATCCCGGGATCCTGGGAAATATCCTGGTTTGTCCCAGAATCCCTAGTACAGTTCTCTCGCATAGTCCTGCAATGTCCGAGTGTCGACCGCCACGTTCCTTCTCGCCTGATGAATCAAGTAGCTTACCAATAAATTCTCCGTCTTGAGCAGCACCTTATTCTGACAATACTTGACCAACAAGGCACTTGCAGACTTTGTGATGCTCATGTGTTCTTTTATCTTGGCGGCATCTTTCTTGATGGTGCGGATCGTAGATTCGTTAACGCATTGCTGTCTCGCCAGATCGACCTGCCTCGTTCCTTTTTCTAACTCCTGAACGATTTTATATTTCACTTTGTAGCTTAAGGCGCGTTGCGGCTTGGGGCGGCTTGGTCCAGGTAATTCAAGGTTTTTCTGTGGTGGTGGGGGTCCAGCAGATGCCATTGTTGAACAGATTAGCGGGCACGAGAGAGAACTGTATACACGGTGACTGAGGACAATGAGACTGGCACACCTAAGGTCAGCGACTTATTCCCTTTAGTGGCAGGGCACTTCATGTTACATTAGACCAATCACAGCTAGCGGCAGAGGGAATGCGTGGGTGGTAAGGATGCGAGGCCCAATCACGTCCAGATACGTCATATGACATCAGCGGTGACGTAAGAGCGACCTAGTGAGCAGCTTGCCCGCGCCGCTTCCCGCGTAAATTCAGGAATGTACCGCGTAACTAATAATTGTCGCGTCTGGCCAGCTGCCGCCTAAATGACCAATCGCGTAAAGGAAATCTGCATAAATCGAGACTATACTACTGTAGTTTACAAGAATGTAACAACGACGTTAACCGTTAACCGAGGACTTACTATACACCTAATCTAAATTTCTTTGTATATCAAAATTAATTAACATTTTTTAACTTTTGTGTTATAGAAATGGTTTATAATATAAACGGTGTCAAAATGGGCAAATTAACCAGAACTTTTTAATAACCTGGCATCTGAAGGCCATAACTTAGACAAGGCAGTAGATCAGTTACAATATCATTAGGGTTTCCCTAAACAAAACTTATGTCCACAGGGACAAAACTATTTGTCAAGATCATTACCCACTTTAATCCAGGCAGGAGCATTAATTAAAACCTGAAAGCTTCATAGCTGGTGTAAGTGGTGGCAATACAGTACCTCGATGATGGCTCCTTGATGGGGTCCAGCAGTATGGGGCATGAGTCTCCAAGCAGTGTGCTCAGAGTCATTGCTGCACCTTCTGCTAAGGAGTCCAAGCAATATCCACCCTGTACATCAAGCAAACATCATAAGAGTGAATTGAGGTTCATGGAAATTTTATAAATACTTAACAAGTGGTGTAAACCAGATGAATAGTTTGGGTCCTTGTTGTGGCCATAGCCACTAAAGTAACATCTATTACAGCTGTACGAATGAATAAATGAATGCCAGTGTTTGTGTGACAGGAATAGATGGGGGGGAGGGGGTGTGTTACAAGAATTGAGGAAATACAGAAATCATTGATTTAATTTTAATTTGCAAGGAATGTTTGTTGTTGCCAGTCTGGCCACAATATGTTCCCATATCCTGAAACTTAGGCCTATGAGTCATTTTAAATTAACTTTCAATCTTCCATTTCTTACACCCAGAGTTTTAATCACCCTCTTCCGTCGAAGAGGGTGATTAAAACTCTGAAGGAGACTGCATTACAGAGCTTGACAGGGAGGAGTGGCAGTAAAACTAACTAATTCCAATATCATAAATTACTTTTATTGGAATTAGTTAATTTTACCGCCACTCCTCCCCGTCAAGTGCTCATTTATTTATTTTTGTTTGAACTGGGTTGACACAGGACAATCCTTTTCAACAATAATGAAGCCTGTAATGTATAAATTATGCAAAAAATAAAATTCTCGCAGGAAAAATTGGCCACAGAACAAAGATGACCAGAGCTCACGAGTGGTTCGATAAGACTTTCGTCGTGGTCGCGGAAACTTAAAAACCTATTGTGCGCGCGAGGAGATTAAAAGAATGATTTGATACAAACTTATGTCTTGAAAACCTTACCTCAAAAACTACAGCCACTCTCCCTTGGGCCAACGTCATCAAACTGGAAGTAAGGTGGGAGTAGAAGCCTGATGACACATCCATTTCTCCCTGGCACAACACAAGAGAAGATTAGTGTATGACATGGTCAAGGTTTGAAGAAGATGAGTGACCAAAATAACTAAGTGAGGGAGGGAGCATCCATGTATCCAATAAGCTTTACAGCCAGTAACTTGACAAACAACCAGATGAAGTGAGATTTAGGTAAACAAGCAGATGAATCAGTAATCATGAAGCATCATAAAAATAAGAGGAAACTTTTATTAGTACTGTCCTGTACAGCCTGAAGAATCAGATATGGTACCTAAGAACAGTATCTTATTAACTTTGTGCTGCACCAAGATCCTGTGTTTCAACACAGCAATGAACCAAATTCTTTAAGTCAATCCACTTCAAATATCTGTGATTTAGTGTTACACGATACTTGAAGCTTACTTTACACTGTCATAGTCATCTTACTTTACAGCCATACTCATCTTATTTCACACTGTCATACTCATCTTATTTCACACTGTCATACTCATCTTAATTTACACTGTCATACTCATCTTAATTTACACTGTCATAGTCATCTTACTTTACACTGTCATACTCATCTTAATTTACACTGTCATAGTCATCTTACTTTACAGCCATACTCATCTTATTTCACACTGTCATACTCATCTTAATTTACACTGTCATACTCATCTTAATTTACAGTCATACTCATCTTAATTTACACTGTCATAGTCATCTTACTTTACACTGTCATACTCATCAGACACTGGGATGAGCAGGAAGAAGGCTGTTAGGGAATTTTCCCTTAAAACAGAGATTATGTTCTGTGTAATTATATTTTTCTAAAGACTGCATCAAGATCATAGAACATTGAGAATATAGGACATAAATGTTTGAATATCTATGTAGACAATCTACAATAATATATAAAAAAGTGAGAGAGACATGAGAACTTGTTGTGAAATTAGAGTACCATAGCAGGATACACCTAGTCCCATACAGCAGTAATAATGAAGGTACAGCATAACAATAAATAAAGGGTAAAGGTGCACTTAAATATGCACTATTCTGGCTACCTCCCATTACAGTATAAGTGGGAATCTATTTACAGAAGCTCTCACTGAGGCTATAAGAATACCTTTGCTGAAACAAACAATTGAGCAACTCGTACAATGATCCTTCCAATCTCTCACTGAGCCTTTTCTATACATTATTGCTCTTGTAATCATTAACACTTATCAACTCCACTATTAATAATTCTAAGAAACTAACATAAAACAATAAGTGGAAAAATTTTCACATCTTTACAAAGTTCCATATGTATTTTTTGCTGCCTCACCTTAGTGCTCACTATACCACTGACTGAATACACGGTCACAAGAAAGGAGAGATGGAACAAAGGAAGAGGTGTATCAATTATCAGTTACAATATGCAAGATATATGAAGCAATGAAGTATGATAGTGTATTAATTACTTACTTAAGATTTATGAAGCAATGAAGTATGATAGTGTATTAATACTTATGAAAGATTTATGAAGCAATATGCATGATCTATGTGGACAGAAACCCAAGGAACATAAATTAATTAGTTGTAGAAAATAAATAAAGACTAAAGACTTATAGTACGACCTAAATACTTTACCTTAAAAAGTGTTAAGTCTGGGAGTATGGTCTACAAGATTCTGTTAACTGGCTTCAAGAAAATGACAAAGTATACTGGTTCTCTTAACTTTAACTATAGGAATCAAGAGTGTCAATAAACTCACCTTAAGGTCACCCAGTGCAGAATCAAAACCAGAAGATATTATAACCAGCGATGGACTGAACTAGAAGTAAGGAAATATCATGAAATTCATTAAAACCAAAAAGTCAAATCAATATGACCTCAGTACATGTAGCAAGACTTAATGTTCTGTATTTTATTCCTGAAAATCTTTAACATAAACTTGTCTTTTTTTTCAATTCTGGGCATAGTGTCTTATTTGAAACTTGGCAGGACTGTTCTTGGGTCTAATACGCACCACACCATCTTGTATTTAATTTTTTTTAAGGATTAATGCGCTCAAAAAACCTTTAGATATTTTTCCCTTTAAATTATAGGTCAATTAATCTGAAACTTCTACAGACTTTTTTATTTTTGTTGTTTTAAAGATTTTATGAGGTAAACAAGAAATCTAAGCCCAATATACATAAATATTATGCTTTTGCTCAGTCATAGTTAAACCAAGTAAGAGAAGCATTGACACACACAAACCTGGAATTATGCCCCATACAATGATTTTTAGAAATGCAATTTTTGTGCATTTTTGGTCATTAAACAGGAGTCAAATACTGTATAACAAAAACACCAAATGTGGGGGATTTTGACATATACTGTATAGGACTGTAATTCTGCTGTAGCTTAACAAATACATTTTGGGTGTGTAAAAAAAAATTGATGCATCCTCCAAAGAGCAACACAAACACTGTATACTTATGTATTTTTTAACTTTCTTATCATTGTACAGTTGAAAAACTCACCAGGAGGTAAGTGAAACTGTATTGGGTAAACATGTTTTGAGAATAAAAACAAGCAGAGATCACACAATAGTCGTCAAATCTACTGACTGAGGAGTATCCCTTGTTTTACTTTGCAAAATATTAATCTCCAAGTTTCAAATTCATTTCAAGGCACTATAGAGCCACAGAACAAGCCTGATGTTAACACTCTTGTGCACCACAATACAACAACAAGTCAATCATAAGCTCATTCAATTGGCACTGATGTGTATTTGTGTCACTCAAGAAAAAGAAAAAATCACTATAAAAGAATAATTTCAATTAATGCACGAGATTTTGGTGTGTCATTCCTGTAGCCGTTTTCTCGTGGTAATCCATCTACAATTAGCTGCATGACAACTGTCCATAGAGTGATGACATGAAGACATCAATTACTATATGTCTCAGCAGGCAAGCTAGGTCTTTTGTACTGTACTAAGCATTTAAAAATTTTATTTCACTATCCATCTCATACAATCGTGCCCTCCATTGTGCGTTAATATTCGCCTGTAAATCATTTATTTTTAACGATATACCACTTGTTTAAACTTGTATCTGTCCCGTCTGTAAACTGCACAATAAAGTCTCCGCTGTGGATATGATAAACGTCTCGGCTATTTGTAAAAGTGATAAAAGTGTTTATAAGTTTATTTCATGATATTTCAAATGCAGACACTGCTTCACTGTATATCATACCTTCTCCCCAACTGCAACTCCCTCAAGCATCCACCATCACTCAGAAGAGTAAGATTATTTTAAAATAGTTTTTTATATTGATATAATATTATAAAGATGTATTATTGTATACAGTATTACCCCGCCTAACGCGGTTTCACTTAACGCGTTTTATCATATACGCGGTGCCTCGCCAGAGCTGAACTTTCACTTAACACGGATTTTTTCCACATATACGCGGTGAGTGTCCGGCTCGAGACGCTATTTTTAGATTTGCCCCACCCGCCACCCTGCCTGACTGCCTGTTTTAGCTCATAAAATTCATACAAATTACCCGGCCAGAATATAATTTACATTGCTGGAATTCTTATAATTTGGTGATCATTTTGAATATAAACATCATATATTTTGCATTAGACATACAAATTTTAGATAAAAATTTTTCTCAGAGTAACTATGTTATCTTTTGTGCAAAATATATGACATTTATATTCAAAATATTCCTGGTCTTACAAGGAATCCAGCAATGTCAATTATATTATCCTAACTTTAGTTTGAGGTATTATTTATTAAAATTTAGTGGTTATCCCACACATCTCCTTGGGACGGTTGGTGGGGGGTGGGGGGAGGGAGGGACCGACCGACCATCTGTTACCCCGTGAAGAATTTTTTTTTTTTTTTTATTAACTGAAGATATTTGTTTTAGCTCATAAAATTCATACAAATTACCCGGTCTGAATATAATTTACATTGCTGGAATTCTTATAATTTGATGATCATTTTGAATATAAACATCATATATTTTGCATTAGACATACAAATTTTAGATAAAAAATTTTCTCAAATTAACTATGTTATCTTTTGTGCAAAATATATGACATTTATATTCAAAATATTCCTGGTCTTACAAGGAATCCAGCAATGTCAATTATATTATCCTAACTTTAATCTGAGGTATTATTTAATACTAAATGTTAAAAACCCTGGAAGGGAGGATTGGTGGGGGGTGGGGGGGAGGGTTGGGACTGACCGCGCGGTTGGAAGAGGGGGGGAGGCAAGGTGGGGTACTTTGATTGACAGATAGTGTCGTGAAGATTATTTTTTTTTTTATTAACTGAAGATATTTGTTTTAGCTCATAAAATTCATACAAATTACCCGGTCAGAATATAATTTACATTGCTGGAATTCTTATAATTTGGTGATCATTTTGAATATAAACATCATATATTTTGCATTAAACATACAAATTTTAGATAAAAATTTTTCTCTAGGTAACTATGTTATCTTTTGTGCAAAATATATGACATTTATATTCAAAATATTCCTGGTCTTACAAGGAATCCAGCAATGTCAATTGTATTATCCTAACTTTAGTTTGAGGTATTATTTATTAAAATTTAGTGGTTTTCCCCCAAAAATTTCTCTGAGAGGGAAGAGCCAGGCAGTGTAGTGTGAGAGAGGGGGAGGGAGTTGAGTCCATTATTTGAATGGACATTAACTTGGCGACTGTATTTCTCTATTTCTCTTAAGTATTAATTGTGTGCATGTACCATCATAAAATTAAGATGTTATTTTTACTACAACATAGGTATGTGCCTTCAAAAAGTGGAGTTTGGGGGTCGGGCCGGTTTCTATTGGAATTAATCCCATATGTTCTGTTGTTCACTTAACGCGGGACCCTCTGGGTTCAATTGACCGCGTTAAGTGTGGTACAACTGTACTGTACTATGTTATGTTATACTACAATATGTTGTACAGTACACAAATTGGGGATGGAAATGTTTTTTCTAAAATCATTCCAACCAAACTGCACTGGCTAACAAATTTCTAAAACTACCATAACATTCCTAAACAATTTTAATATTTTATTTAGAAAAGTACAAAAATAATGGCATAAACTAAAATGAGTGATTAATTTTGGAAAAAATTCTAGATAATCCATTTTTTCTTCAATTTACCAGCCTTATTATTATTTACTCATATAATTTTGTTTATTTCACCAATATAAAGCATAAAGTGTGTTTTTGTTACTTGGTTGTTTGTTAGATAAAATACAAGTTGATTGTAGTATTGAAAACTAACGCATGATTTCACATCAAAATAATTTCTTCTTTTTCTCTTTCACATAGAATGTACTGTAGTTGGTTTTATACGAAAAAATCAACCAGTTGCCAAAAAATCGACCCAAAGAAGAAAGGATACAGCGCCGCTCTTCTATACACAAAGTCACAACTAGCCCCATGTGTAGGAGGGAATGATGTTATAAATATAGGGCTGCACAAGAGTGTTAACACATTCAGCAGCACAATGATGACAGATGTTTAAGTTGCTTTCATGTGCTGAGGTGATTGAGGTGAGCAATAGCTCAGCCTGACTGTTTAAATGTGTAACAGCTCTCACCTCAGGACACCCAACAGCAGCATCATACCCCGCTGATACAATGATGAGCTCTGGGTTGAACTGTAATTAGAACGACAAGTGTTGGATATGTATACCCTTGGTTAATGAAAAGAAGAGATCAAAGAATGGTTATACAGTATTATATTCAACACATCATAGATCACTCCAGTTATCTTTAATATGAAAGTTATGAGAAGGATACAAATTGTTCATAAGTGTACCATTTTCACCAGTATATAGTATCGGTAAGCACAATCACTTACAGGAACTACTTGTGGATTTAAAATACTGTACTGTACATATAAATTATCTCTGAATTTAAAACACATTCATTGAGGATTGAAGTCAGATTCACTCATACAAACACTGTACTGTCATCATAATACTGTACAATGACAGAGCTTGGGGTCTCTTACTGCTCTTCTTTTGTACTTAGCAACTTATAAATATACAGTACAGTATAGTGTACTTTATTGACACTTGTAAACACCACATATAACACTAAGCCTTATAAATACCCTGTACTGTAAACAGTATCTTTAAGTTAGTAGATATTTTTTGCAAGCTGTTTTTAAATAAAAACTAATTGATGAAGTAAATATCATACAGTATACAGAAGCACAAGATTTTTAAGTGTAGATGACAGTGGAATGATAAATTGCAGGAAAAAATCTTAAAACTTTACCATATCCTGTACATTAAGAATTTAACACCTTGAATGACAGGTTATGTAGTCACCTATCAATTATGAATGCATTTAACTCAAAACAGGATTCACACAGACTTGACAGTTTCTCTGCAGCTCCTGTCCATCTGTTCTCAAGCCCCAAAACTGACCTTTGTCCGGTCACAAAATAATGCTGTAGACAAGTCATGTTTATTAAGCCACCTGAATAGGTAAAGAAAAGAAGTTCTTTTTTTAATATGATTCACATAATAAAGAAGCTACTTTGTGGATACAATGCAAGAGTGAAAAGTGCTGTACTGTATTATATAAATAACTTTTCACTCAGAATAAAATCTGGCAGCTGAAAGTGTGTGTATTAGTCTGTTGACCAAAAGCACATCGAAAAAATCTCCAAAATTGAGCCTTGTTAGTACAGTAAACCCTCAATATTTGCATTATCTGGAATCAAAAAGTTTGCCCATTCTCTATTTAGTAGATGTATACTTATTCACCAATTGTGACCTCAACCTCTAGTATTGATGACTTTTCAAGAGGTTAAAATCCAAGCATCTGGGGAGTGGGAACATCATAATCTAAAAAATATAATTTATTGTAGCAGTATCTTGAGGGCAATACCGCATTCACTTCCGATAAACTAATTTCAAATTTACTTAAAACCAAAATCTGTAAAAAATGTTACTTTTTCACTTTCAACTTACCTAACATCTGTGCTGTTTAATAAGCTTAATTCCACATTTTTACCTTAAAATCAATAACAATAAAGAGCCAACACTTAAAGATCTGTACTTTCATTAAATTACTAGATAAAGATATCTTCACAATAAATAATATACAAGGCTTGGGGTATTGTCACCATAAGCAATGACCAAACAAATGCTGGCTTGCTTAACTCCATTATGTATAGAGAATCAAAAGTCACCTTGTATGAAATCGTAGGTAATAATGAAAAAATTAAATAAATAAACTAAATTAATAATTTAATGGCAATTACAGTCAACCCTCGCTTTACGTGGTCCCACATTCCGCGTTTACGCGGTACCCTGCCGAAACCGGAATGCTCACATTCCGCGGTGCGTGTACCCCTTTACGCGGGTGACGTATAATTTTTTTATTTAGCTCATAAAATTCATACAAATTATCCGGCCAGAATATAATTTACATTGCTGGAATTCTTACAATTTGATGATCATTTTGAATATAAGCATCATAGATTTTGCATTAGACATACAAATTTTAGATCTAATGCAAGTATTTTGTTTACTCAGAGCAAATATGTTATCTTTTGTGCAAAATATATGAAGTGTATATTCAAAATATTCCTGGTCTTGCAAGGAATCCAGCAATGTCAATTATATTATCCTAACTTTAGTCTGAGGTATTATTTATTACTAAAAATGTAAATACTGTATACTGTTATAACCCAATCATTTCTCTGGTAGGGAGGGAAGGTGGGGGTGAGGGGTAGGGAGGGAGGGAGGGACCCAGGGAGCAGGTGGGAAGAGGGGCGGAGGTGGGGTATTTTGATTGACAGATAGTATTTCGGTAAGTATATTTTGTTTATTTATTGAAGATATTTGTTTTAGCTCATAAAATTCATACAAATTACCCGGCCAGAATATAATTTACATTGCTGGAATTCTTACAATTTGATGATCATTTTGAATATAAACATCATAGATTTTGCATTAGACATACAAATTTTAGATTTAATGTAAGTATTTTCTTTACTCTGAGTAAATATGTTATCTTTTGTGCAAAACATATGACATTTATATTCAAAATATTCCTGGTCTTACAATGAATCCAGCAATGTCAATTATATTATCCTAACTTTAGTTTGAGGTATTATTTATAACTACAGTATTACCCCGCCTAACGCGGTTTCACTTAACGCGTTTTATCATATACGCGGTGCCTCGCCAGAGCTGAACTTTCACTTAACATGGATTTTTTCCACATATACGCGGTGAGTGTCCGGCTCGAGACGCTATTTTTAGATTTGCCCCACCCTGCCTGACTGCCTGTTTTAGCTCATAAAATTCATACAAATTACCCGGCCAGAATATAATTTACATTGCTGGAATTCTTATAATTTGGTGATCATTTTGAATATAAACATCATATTTTTGCATTAGACATACAAATTTTAGATAAAAATTTTTCTCAAATTAACTATGTTATCTTTTGTGCAAAATATATGACATTTATATTCAAAATATTCCTAGTCTTACAAGGAATCCAGCAATGTCAATTATATTATCCTAACTTTAGTTTGAGGTATTATTTATTAAAATTTAGTGGTTATCCCACACATCTCCTTGGGACGGTTGGTGGGGGGTGGGGGGGAGGGAGGGACCGACCGACCATCTGTTACCCTGTGAAGAATTATTTTTTTTTTTATTAACTGAAGATATTTGTTTTAGCTCATAAAATTCATACAAATTATCCGGTCTGAATATAATTTACATTGCTGGAATTCTTATAATTTGATGATCATTTTGAATATAAACATCATATTTTTGCATTAGACATACAAATTTTAGATAAAAATTTTTCTCAAATTAACTATGTTATCTTTTGTGCAAAATATATGACATTTATATTCAAAATATTCCTGGTCTTACAAGGAATCCAGCAATGTCAATTGTATTATCCTAACTTTAGTTTGAGGTATTATTTATTAAAATTTAGTGGTTTTCCCCCAAAAATTTCTCTGAGGGAAGAGCCAGCGAGTGTAGTGTGAGAGAGGGAGGGAGTTGAGTCCATTATTTGAATGGACATTAACTTGGCGACTGTATTTCTCTTAAGTATTAATTGTGTGCATGTACCATCATAAAATTAAGATGTTATTTTTACTACAACATAGGTATGTGCCTTCAAAAAGTGGAGTTTGGGGGTCGGGCCGGTTTCTATTGGAATTAATCCCATATGTTCTGTTGTTCACTTAGCAGTTCATAGCAGCGGGACCCTCTGGGTTCAATTGACGTTAAGTGAAATTCTAACTGTATACCTTAAAATCTAGTGGTTTTCCCCCCAAAATTTCTCAGAGAGGGAAGAGCCAGTGTAGTGTGAGAAGAGGGGGAGGGAGTGAGTCCATTATTTGAATGGACATTAACTTGGCAACTGTATTTCTCTTAAGTATTAATTGTGTGCATGTACCATCATAAAATTAAGATGTTATTTTTACTAGAACATAGGTATTGTGTCGGAAAAAGTGGAGTTTGGGGGTCAGCCGGTCTCTATTTCATTTAATCCCATATGTTATGTTGTTCACTTTACGCGTTTCTCACTTTCCGCGGTACGCTGTGGGTTGAATTAACCGTGTAAAGCGAGGGTTCACTGTATATCAAGAAAAAGGAATATAAAGTTGATTTGATCTGGGTTGCTCTCCCATACAGTCTGTGTTATGCACGTTAAAGTGGTGATGATCCCACAATTTTATGGTCATAATTTTGCATTTTCTGCATTCATAAGGAGTTTTTCTGGTAGTGATTTACAGCCTAGTACTGTACAGCAGTGCTACTCAAAGTGGTGGTACCTGGACCGGTACCGGTACGTGAGGTATCGGCTGCCGGTCCGCGGAGTTTCCAGAAAAGAAAGAAACAATAGTATAATTTAACAGTAACGCATCCAGGGGGAGAGCCGTCAAACCTCAAGAGGCATTTAAATATAAAACAAAGAAATGAGTTCAAAGTCGAAAGAGTTCTTTGAAAGAAAGCATGTTGATTTAAAAGGCCGTCAGAAACAGATCTTTGAAATGTCACACATAAATACTTGTGCTTTGCAGGCTTCTTATAAAGTAGTACTTCGAGTTGCTAAGGCTAAAAAGCCATACACAATCGGTGAGACGCTAGTGATAGGCTGTATTAAAGATGTCTGCAAGGAAATGCTGGGCTCGAGCCGGCGCCAAGGAAAGTGGCTCAGGTGCCACTTTCAAATGACACTATAACTTGACGAATTCACGATCTGGCTCACGATATGGAAGATCAGCTCATAGGACAGATTAAATTAACAAAGTACTTTTCTTTGCAGCTTGATGAATGTACAGACATTGCTAATATGGCAATTCTGTTGGTGTATGTGCACTTTGAACATAAGGGTGATTTGAAGGAAGAGTTTTTTCTCTGCTTCACTACCAACAAAAACAACTAGTTCTGAAGTGTTCAAGACTGTGACTACATCGTTAACAAATGTGGGTTGGATTTCAAGTTTTGTGTAGGCGTATGTTCTGATGGCGCTGTCGCAATGATAGGACGGCATTCGGGAGTAGTTACCCAGATCAAGGCGCTTGCCCCAGAATGCAAGTCGACGCACTGCTTCCTTCACCGAGAAAGTCTTGCAACAACAAAAATTTCAACAGAACTAAACAGTGTGCTCAGCGAGGATGTAAAAATTGTGAACCATGTAAAGGCAAATGCTTTAAATTTAAGATGATTCACTGCATTATGTGATGATATGGGAGCTGATCATAAACAGCTACTATTGCCTGCCGATGTACATTGGTCATCGAGGGGAAAAGTCCCAAGAGTATTTGATCTGCGAAACGAGCTTGCCGAGTTTCTTCAGGACAAAAAACCAAATTGGTCACAATTGTTCAGATGTGGATTGGCTAGCCAATCTGGCTTATTTGGCTGATATCTTTGCCATCTTTAATGATCTCAACACCTCCATGCAGGGAAGGATGGCTTCATGTTTTACAATGGCAGACAAGATCGACGGACAAAAACGAAAGCTAGAAGCATGGAAGAGTCGAGTGTCAAGAGATTGTTATGACACCTTTCACCAATTAGCGGCAGTCATCGCCGATGCAGGCGAAGACCTTAATGTTACATCTCTACGAATTGTCATCAGAGAACACTTGACGAATTTGGCAGAACGTTTTCGGCATTACTTTCCAGCAGAAGAAGATCCACAGACAGGGAAAGGATGGATCCGAAATCCGTTTATGCCATTGAGAGATGACTTAAGTGTCACTATGGAGGATAAATTGTTGGAGCTGGCTGCTGACGAAGGATTGAAGATGAGTTTCGAAACACAACATCACTTGGTTCCTTTTGGATAAAAGTGAAAGCAGAATATCCTGAGCTTACTGAAATTGCTCTGAAAACTCTTCTCCCATTTCCCTCAACATACCCCTGCAAGACTGGCTTCTCAACCATGAGTGTCATAAAGACAAAGTAAAGGAATAGTATGGACATTCATTCTCCATTGCGCGTGGCACTGTCCTCAATTGAACCACGATTGGATAAGATGACAAAGAAGAAGCAGGATCACCTTTAACATTAGTAAAGGTTAAGGTTTTAACATGCCTATTATTGTGTTAATAAAATAATCATCAATTTCATATTTTTGTATTACAACATATTTTAAAATTTGTTATGTCTTCAATTTAATGTTGCCTATTCCTTTCAATATTTGTTTAACGTCTTTAAGCATTGGGGTTTAAAATACAGTATAGTCTCGGTTTACGCGGTCAATTAAACCCGTGGAGGTCCGCGTAAAACGAGAAACGTGTAAACGAAATAACAGAACATATGGGATTAATTGAAATAGAGACTGGGCCGACCACCAGACTACCCTTTTCCCGACACAATACGTACCTTGTAGTAAAAATAACATCTTAATTTTATGATGGTATGCACACACAATTAATATTTAAGAGATATATCAATAATATTAGGTTTTTAACACTTATGTTAGTAGAAGAGATGGCTGGGCACACGGGGATGGGGGGTTGGTTCTGAGGCAGAAGGCAGATTATTGGCCCTCACCTGTATCACTTGTATCACCTGTATCACTATCCACCACAGAGGCTAGCAGGGCCTCTTTGTCAAACCCCTCAAAGTCCATATCCTCACTATCACTATCAATGACTTGGGCTGGCTGTGGTGGGTGGCGGGTGAAAAACTCGGTAATGTTTTGTTGAATGGGCGACCTAGTGCGCACCCTGCCAGCGCCGCTTCCCGCGTAAATAAAAATTTTTGGTCTGGCAAGGTGCCGCGTAAATGACAAAAAGCGTAATCGAAATCCGCTTAAATCGAGACTATACTGTAACTAAAATAGAAAATTTTGTTTAACCTACTTTATTCATTATAATTTTTAATTTTATTACTTCTATATACATATGTTTATAATATCTTTGTTAGAAGGCTTTGCTAGTTTTATATTTTAATATTTATTATTTACATTGTTATACACCTAGACCCCGACTTACGACTACGTGGACTTACGACCGTCGGGACTTACGACCGCCGCGAAAAAATTTTTTTTTTAAATGACACGCATTTTCTATACCGAAACGTTTCCGTTAATGTTCCATGGGGGCCCCATGTGCATTCAGCTGACTACATTAAAGGTAAGTGCTGTCACACTGTAACCATTCCTTATTATTTATTACTTTCACTGTACTGTATCCATTCATCATTATTCATTACTTTTACTGTACTGTATTTCATTGTAGATTTTTTAATAAAAATTTTTTATTTTTATTTAATTTTTTATCTATGTCCGACTTACGACCTGGATTTGGGTCCCTAACCCCGTCGAAAGTCGGGGTGTAGGTGTATTGTATTGCTAGTTTAAAAAAAAAAAAAAAGCGTCAACTTTTATTACATTCATTACATTTTTCTGGTATAAATTAATATTACTACGAATGTTCAAATAATATTTTCTCGGATCGTAAACAAATAATATGTCACAAGCATGGTACCGGTCCCTGGCACATTGGGAAAAAAAAAACCTGCCGGTCCGCCACATCAGGTGGTTTGAGAAGCACTGCTGTACATTATGTGTCAGGCTAATCTTGTAAGAGACAGACACGTGTGAAAACATGGGAAAAGGTGAAAATCATAATGCTTTACATACAGTATTGTAATGGATGACAATTTACATTTGGAAAACTTTGATGCACACTTTTTTTAAATGCTAATTTTGCACACTCATCACTGTCACACAATGCCTCAAATCATCATTACCAGCATCATGAAGTAAAGTAAAAAAAAAAAAATTACTTTCTTTAAACCATATGTTGCAGCCTACAGTATAAGTTGACCTGGCATATAACGCTACCTTAATTATCTCAACTGAAATTGTTGATCTACACCTATACCTGGTAGTTAAGTCTTTTACTTTTAACCTCTTCGCCACTGATGGCGGTCGGTCACATCTCTGTTATGTACTCTTGTTAAGTACTGGGCATGCATTGGCTCCTGAATGTATCTGAACCTGCTCCAGTGTACGTCAAATCTGGTCTTGAAACAGCTCACATTCGGTGACATCACAACACATTCAGGCAGGTTGTTCCAAGAGTTCATGATTCTCACTCCAAAAAAGTTTGCCCTTCCAGTTTTCTGGACTTGCAGCGTCTTCAACCTTGAGCTGTGACCCCTTGTGGGTGGGTGTCCGGCAGCTCCAGATATGGACACTTGACCAAGTAGTGCCCTTTGAGATGTTTATACACTGCAATTTGAAAGCCAAGTCCTCGGAGTCAGCTAAACTTACCAACATTTACTTTTTAACAGTACTATACTCACAAACAAGTTTTACCTAATTGTAGCATTTTCAAAATGTTAAAATACATTTTGGTGTTAACTCCAGCTTTCTTACAAACAAACGTTACTAGGGTACATAAATGAGGTGTAAACAAATCACAACACTTGGTGAGCAATGGCAATTTACTCGTACTGATAATTTATTAAATACTCTGTATATTGACAAGTATAATTTTTTAAAACTTAATAATTATGGTACAGTACATGATAAGAAGAGCATGTGGTACATCATACTGACAGAGGTACTCTCGACTTACGACAACCCGACATACGGCCACCGTGGTCGCATAAAATATTTTTCAAATTACGTATTTTCGAGTCCTGACGTTAGTGATCGCGCTGTGTACTGAATTTTTTTTTCCATTTGTAATTCCCTTTAAAATGGCTGAAAAGCATAAAAGTGAGAGTTCTCTTAGTGCTGAGAAGAAAAAGAAACACCCATTTTAAAATTTCTATGTATTATTTTTGCCTTTTCGACTTACGACCTGGTCGTTGGTCCGGAACCCCGTCGTAAGTCGAGGACAGACTATATAGTAGTACACTGTATGAGCAGTATATGGCAGCGAGCACACAGATTCTTGGTACATGATTAAATTTTTTTATTATTATTTCACCTAAAACAATACAAAATAAAACATTCAATTAACAGTACTGTATGTTATTAATGGTTGTACACTGTGTTGGCAGTATGTGGCAACATGCGAACGAAGTCTACAGTCTCTGGAACTGGTAAATGATTAAAATATTATTTTATTTATAACGAAAACAATACAAAATAAAAGTTTCTTAAAAGTTAAGTTCATATTTAATACCAATGTAAACCTTCCAAGTTTAAAATTCCTTCAAAGGCTGGTTCATCATTATCAGACAAAAAGATCATCCATCATATGGGTCTGCCGACTCTGCCTTCGAATCACTGGCGGCGATGGCATCACTAGCCGAGCTGCTGTAGGCCAACCAGATGTTCCCAGGCACCTGCATTGTTTACAACTTTAAACCATATTCATGTAAACATTTACCACATCCAGGTGCATTATAGTATGAATATAATGTAACTGCATTTTTAAACAATTTAACAACAAACATTACAGGTAACTGCCCGAGTAACGTTTATTTGTAAGAAACCATATGTAACACCGAAATATATTTTAATGTTTTGAAAGCTGTCGGGATGACGAGTGTAAACACACCTTAGGCCGAGTTCAGTAACAGTTACCCTTCTGGAAAAATGCTGGTTAGGTAAAACTTTGTTTTGTGAGTGCTGGAAATTAAGTGACTGAGTCCTACCAGTAAGGTAAAGTGAAAAGCTGAAGCTAGTGGTGGAGTGTACTTAGAGGTTGACATTTTATACCTGCTGTACAAAACGACCCCATTTTTTGAACACAAATATTAGGGCTTCAAAAGTCGATCTATAGGCCAAAATATACGGCATTATCATTTACAGGCAAAGTGTTTGCCGTAGTCTTTGTACTTAACCATTTTCCCCCATGTTCAGTGGTACCAGGAACCTAACCCCCTTTTTTCCACTGAATTAAGGTTTCCACATTGTCAGTTCCTGAATTTGTGGAGTTTTTTGAGAACCTAATCCTGCAACTATTAAGGGTCTACTGTACATGAAACGGTCTGTTCATGACTGGCTGACTACACACTTAAAATACAGGTATAACATATTTTTCCTCCTCACCTCATAAGCCACTGGAAGGAGAACTTGATGAAATATGGCCAGGTAGTCTTCATTCCTCATACCAATCTTGTTAAGAGGAACATTGAAGTTAAATCCCTGGCCAGTTCCTTCTCCAACATAGTTGTAATTACTCTCTCTTAAGTGTGGCCAGAAACTCCCTTGTTGGTAGCGGTGTATGGAGAAGTACAACACCCTATAGAGTGTGAAACCATTAAATAATCCATTTTTCAAAGTCTCTGTTTAATACATTACTACAGTATACTTTTTATGCTAAATTTCTACACTTGTTTTGCACCAATTATACCCACTATTTCCCCTTTTGTCTTATATTTCTCTATTTCTTGATCCATTCGAAATAAGCGAGGAAAGAACAAAGAAAATAAACATTCTTAAATGCTAGATATATTGTCTAGATGTCAGAATTATAGAGAGAGAATATGAAGTACAGTATCAGTACTTGAGACTCAGAATGTCTCATAAGGGTTCCAAGTGATGACTAAATACTGATGAATCTCCCTTGGTGTTAGAGTAAAAGGGTAACAATATCTGATCAAGGGTTATGATGGATTGTGTGGAGTGATAGGGATAATCTCATTGATATCTTAGGGCCTTGTTGTGGATAAGAAACACCACTGCAAAACACATTTGGTTGGCAGTTAGAGATTGAACGACAGTGATGTAGCAACACTTGTGACTGTCTTCCATACATATAGTAATATTCTTGGAAAACGAAGATAAATGACTATACATTACAGTACCCCGAGTATATACCACAATGTTGAAGCCTCCAACTATCTCGCCCTAAGCTGAAAATATCGAACATATTACATTCTCATCAATGACATGGCATACAGTACTTATCTTGTAAATCCCATAAAAAAAAAAAAAAATGCACAAAAAGTCATGATAAACTTCTTAACATATACTGAAATCTTCATATGCACAACACTCACGGTTGGTAATGCCTTGCAAAACTTGGCTTTATACTGAAACATATTAATGGTGAATGTGAAAGTGGGTCCTTATAGGCATGACTGCCCTTAGGGACAATGTGTGTGAAGTCTTCAGTAAGCAAGAAAGCAGCAAGACCAGCACTGCATTCAACCACCTTCACTGCTTCCCAATGTAAAGTAGGGTACTCATTTACAGCTGGGTAGACTTGGGGTGCCTTGGTCATTTGGACAGGCAACAAGCACTGTGTTAACTCAGTTGTCACACATCCACAGATGTTACCACATAAAAAATGAAAGTGCCAACACTTTAATGTTTCACTCTGCCTTTGCATAACAACCCATGGAAAGTGATGGAAGTGGTTATGAACTTGTAAAACTTAACATAAAACACACATGAACACCAACCTGGGGTCTGAATAAAATGCATATTGGGAGGCCTGCCCGTGGTGAACATCCCAGTCTACTATGAGGATGCGGGACAAGCTGTGTTTTTCTAAGGCGTGACGAACTGCCAGGGCCACGTTGTTGAGATAACAGTATCCGCATAACTCTGATTCCATAGCATGGTGGCCAGGAGGTCTAGAGGAAAGGAAGTTACATAGCTATTTGTTCAAGGGGAAATGACAACTGTAAACTTATCACAGCTAAGCAAGGCAAGTATTAAAGGAAGGCATATTAAGTATGTTTCCTCATATAACTAGACATGATAATGTAAAAAGAATGATGTTGGTGACACAGAAAGGAATGAAGGGAGGGAATGAATTTTGGAAAAAAATCATAGATCCATAAGCCTAAAAAGGGTTTGGAAAGCATTCACATTTTTAATACTCAGTAAGCAAAGCACCGGCAGATGGATACCATGTGATGGCAAAATGTTGACAGTACCTGACAAGAGCAAAGCCATTCTGCAGTCTTCCTGATGCTACAGCATCTACCAGGTCCAAAGTGCTGCCAGCTGCCAGAAGCGAGTTTTCATATGTAGACTGTAAAAGAGCAATATTGACTGTAATGTTGACCACGAGCAAAACATAAAAAGTGACAAGAACTACAAACATAGTAACAAGTAGATTTATCAAAGATATAAAAAATTAGTGTTTCTATCTTATTTAGAATACACTATATCAATAAAAGTGCTGTACAGTATAAACAGTGATAATTGTGAGCAGGGTGGCTGATCCCAACCCTGAATGTTAAATTGGTAACATGTGATGTTACAGTACACACACACACACACGTCTCAGAGAGAGCTGGGTGACCCAGCTTAACTGTGTCGGTAGAGGTATGATTTGAGTGCAGGAGTCATTTTTAGCACATAAAATACCCCTGTATGTGCCATTATATTTTATTATATACTACATATAAGTTTTTGTTTTGTTTACCATAGCAGTTTGTTTTACTTTTTGGTATGCAATTTAAATTTTTTTTTAATTAGGCTCACCTATTGCTCACTAAATCTTTTAACTTTGAACCACATTATTTATAAAAAAAAAAATGGTGTTAATAAATCAAACTTGGTTAAATTCAATAGTAATAAAACTCAGTATTTACCAATTACACTTCCTAAATTAGATTATCTCCCACCAATTACATTTCAGGATGCTATCATTCTGCTAAATTCTGAAATAAATATGCTAGGCCTCACCATTTCCTCCAAAATGTCCTGGAAATCACACATCCTTAACATAGCTAAAGCTGCCTCCCGAAAGTTGGGAATGCTGTACAGATGCCGTAGCTACTTCACTCCTGAGCAGTTGCTTCAAGTATATAAGGGATTCATTCGTCCTAACTTGGAGTACAGTACTGCTCTCATATCTGGGGTGGCTCTTCTTCTGTCCAACTGTTAGATAGGGTGGAATCAAAGGCGTTTCGTCTTATTACTCTCCTCCTTTAGTCGACAATCTCTCTTCCTTTTCTCTTCACCACAATGTTGCTTCACTCTCTCTCTTTTACAGGTACTTTAACGGGCAATGTTCGGTGGATTTGGCATCCTGTGTACTGCCGGCAAGGCCGAGGGCTCGTAACACACGTCTTGCCCGAGGTGCCCACCGTTTCTCTGTTGATGTCGGTCACACTAGAATAACCCATTATAGTACCTCCTCCTTTCCTCACACAGCCAAACTGTGGAATGCTCTGCCTTCTTCTGTGTCTCACTTTAAAAGGCTGGTTTTCCGGCATCTTCGTGGTGTAGATTAACACAGTATAACCTTTTTCTTCTCTTTTTAATTTTTTTCTGTTCTTAGTTTTTCGCCCCCTAGGCCCCATTGTGGGTTGTTCGACCTGTGCCCGGGTGGGCTAATCCCCGAAAAAAAAAAAAAAGTGCAACTCTAAAATTGTTTATAAGAAACTCATTTATTATTATTATTAGGGAGTACAGTACAATACTCGGTGTTTACAGCTCTGCTGTTTGAACCTGTTGCTTGCCCTCCGAGCTTTGTTGTTATCCCTCATTTAGCGATAATTTTGCCAAACGTTAAGCTTTTTGGGAATGCTACCCCAGTGTTAGATGAGGGATACTTGTTACACAAAATAAAAAAATCTATATTTTAAATTATAAAGTTTTTAACTGGTGGTGGTTAACCTTTAAGCCCCGGGTCAGGGTGCTGCTGGCAGTACATCCCAATTGCAATTCTACAAAATGTACAAAATATACATGAAAATAATATACTGTATAATCAAGTGAAAATAGACAGTATTCTGCATTACAAAAGAAAACAAAATCTACTCATTCGACGGTTTGAGATGAGACTAAATTAAAGTTCTATCTGAGTATATCGAGCAGACATTTTACTTACTATCTAAACCTGAGGTACTGTAGTAATAGTTTAGTGTAGCGAAATAAGTATGTAATTAATTTTAATTGTTGCTTCTACACTGCAGCAATACAAAAATTATCCCACATTCCTTTCAAAATTGGCAAATCATAGGCCCAGGGGTGCCAAATTACTTAGCAAAGTGCCAAAAGAACATCATCATATCTAAGTTAACTATGATTCTTAAATATAAAAATAGAAAATTAATATATATTTTTTAAATTTTTTCAATGTATGGGAGGTGTAAGGGTGGAAACGATCTTCCTGCTCGTTACCGCTGCTAACTCTCTCGTTTGGTGGCGCGACCCCCACTTGGAAGGGGGGTTGGACGGAGGTGAGGAGGTTCGTTACTACCTGTGTCACCGGCAGATTCACCCCAGCCGCCATACAGTCACTATCTAGCTACCCCGCTGTCCGTCAAATTCTGGCTGTGATCTCATCATAGGTCCTGGACTCGTAGGCTGTGTTCCCAGGCCTTCACCTATCAACTGTCAATTCTCTGGTCATTTACCACGACCGTCAGTTCATCTCTTCCGTCTGTGCCCCGGTGTTCTCCTGCCATTTCAAGACATCTGTCACTCGAGTGTGGAGTTGAATAGACGCTTCCCTACCCTGAGTGTGGATCACAGTGTTCCAGAACCTTCCCCCAGGGCCACTGCTGTAGGAAATATCTGTTCATTGTTTGATTCTATGGTTGTTTGATTCCATTAATTGCTGACTCCCCTTTTTGTTCGATTCTATCAAATGTTGACTCCCATTAATTGTTTGATTCCATTAATTGCTGACTCCCATTAATTGTTTGATTCCTTTAATTGTTTGCTTCCCTTAATTGTTTAACTCCATTAACTATTGACTGCATTAATTGTTTGACTCCCACAATTATTTGAAGTGTGTTGAGTGGTGTCAGAGTTTTGTGTTACATTTTTTATAGTAAAGAGATGTCACTCTCAAACGGTTGTTTGTTATTCCTCAGAAAACCATGGTCCTTGACTTTCCTTTATCAAGAACCTGATTAGTCTGGTAAGGGATTTCTATCCCTAAGTCCCAGGCCTTTACAGGAGGGTTTAAATTTTTGTTATAATTTTTTTCTTCTGTTCGGGTATACTAATTATCAAGATGTAGCAAGAAATTTCAAGCAATGACCCCTTTAGTCGCTACCAGGTCAACACCCGAACACAAACAAGCACCAAAGCAGTTCAACAATCGAGCTCTAATACAGGTATACCTCTCTAGTCCGGCATTCTGTGGTCTGGAAACTCCCGTGGTCCGGAACGATTTTAGTTTGCCCATGGAGAAAATTAATTTGAGTCTGGTACTTTCGATGTTTGGCTAAATTTTGCCTATTTACCCTACTTTTTTGGCGAATTACTACATCTAATAAAGCAACATCTAATAAACCAACAAAAATAACACAGATAAAGTTAAATAAAAACTAAAAACAACACAGAAAAAGTTCTTATGTTCTACAGCTTCAGCTAAAGTTGAACCTGATGACTTGACAACTTCGTCATTCGAGTAAAAACACACACAACAACATTGGCTGTCCTTATGTTTTCAACTGATGGGTAGAATTTATGTTTTAAATTCAGAAACATGAATTAAAATATATATGAGCAGTAAACAAGTGTTGCTTTCATATTCTTATGTAGAGTAATGACGATATGTTTTCATAAGAGCTCACTTATATACGCGCAGTCTCACTTTTTTTCTTTACCATTAGGTAATGGTTTGCTACTTTTATTGTTCCATTTATTAACAATAAATAACATTACTTAAAACAACCATATTAATTTTTTACATTAATTTTACTACAGCTACAACCAGGGTCTTATTTTCTTCAGTTTTATATGTAGAACCAGTCAGTCACTGGTTTTGTAATCAACGAAAACAATGCTGTCTCATTTCCTTGGGTGTTTTAATATTCTACGTATTATCAATGAATTGTATTGCTCATTTTGCACACATAAACATTAATTCAATCAAAAAGACATTCAGTAATAAACAATAATGAATCTTTTGTACATAAGAGAAATGACGCTGTTTACATGATTGTGTATGTAAGAGAAATGACGCTGTTTACACGATTGTGCACGTCTGAACGTTGGCGGGCTGTTCAAACCCGTCGAAATTCAAGTTTCCGCCATCAAAATTTTAAATTGTGTAGTGTTTTTTTTGGTGTCCAAATAAAAAACGTTGAATTAAAAACTCGCGAAATTTGAGAAGCACAGGCCAACCAGCCCATTGCAGACTCCTTATTTTCTTATGTTCTATGTTCTTATTTAACCCTTCAATATGTCTTCAAAGAGACCATGAAGCAGAGAAAGTGGTGCTAGTGCTTCCAAGCATAAGCACAAGTCACTATCTATCCAGGAAAAGGGTGAATTTCCATGGTCCGGAAATTTACATGGCTCGGCACCGGTCAGGTCCCGAGGTTGCCGGAATAGAGAGGTACAACCTGTACTTCCATTTTTTAGTAGGGACCGGGAAATGATGACATTGTTTGTTTTAATAAACTCACAAAACAATTTATCCAATCAATTTTTACATTATTTAACATAATGGTGCACATTAACAGAGTGGAATATTACAGGGGTAGAGCGGAGCTGGTGCAAGACCTTGTGACACCCACGCTGGACAGGCTACAGGCTGACATTGAAGCAGGGCCAAGTTGGACTGGCTACCAAATGAATAATTTTTGTGACAATAAGTGATATGCATAATTTTTACAATCTAAAGAACAGATTGTTTGAATCATTGTTTTATCTTTTTTTTAGCTGTAAATATTTAAAATGATACTTAGAGTATAACATAAGCTAGGCAACATTTATGATCACCTGTACAAGTATAACCAATAATAAAATATGGTCATGCTGCTTTAACCTCATTTTCCTCTCCAACCCTAATCAATGGTGTTGTGATCTACTTCCTGTTGTGAAACTTTTATATTAATCGGGTCGCTCATATGTCAGCTATACTCCCATCATGTTATCCATTGTAGGGATCAAGCCAAGGTTAGGTTAGGTTATGGTAAGGCCATTATCACAGAGGGAGAAACAGCATACTCTTATGAACCATATTATCCCTCATATTCATGCCTAGTATACTGACTACTACACCATTCTGAGGGACAATACAGCTTGGAGGATTCTGATATTATCGTTGTGAACCCCAGCCACCAAGACACACACTCTCTCTGCGTCTTCTGCATTGTAAAGAATATGTCATGATTCTCTAATAATGATCTACTGTAAACTATTATGTCAACTAATGTAAAACTTGATTGGGTAAATTGTCTCATGAATGTATTAAACAAAACAATAACATCCTTTCCCAATCCTCATTGAGAAATGGAAGTATCAGAGCTGTTTGTATGTTGAGGGCAATGGATGGACAATGACCCGCCATCCAGTAAGGGTGGGGCGGACTTTACGTCCTCCACCTTGACTGTGTCAAAAACTTTATGCTGGGACTGTACCTTCTCAAATATATTGTAGTGATAATTTTCCTTGCAGGTTAGTTTTCTTACCAACCAATATCAATAATCAATTTTCTTTGTTTCAAGCACAGGGAGTCCATATATCCATATACTGTACTACAATTTCTGTTCATCTCTGCTTATTCTCGCAACTCCTTCAATATCACAAATATTAAAATTTATTTTCTCTTCTAAATCAAATTCTCACTTCCATCAGTCATCTACCTGGTGTATGTTGTATGGTATTCTGATATTCTGTTAAATTTTCAATGCCATCTGAAGTAAAAATTCAGTGGAAAGAAAGCAGCCAACCCTCCTGATACAAAGATATACTGTATTTTATAAACAGTTTGTTTCCCAAATATTGAATTCTCATTAAGTCATTTCCATTTTTTTGGTAAGAGATAAAATGAAACACTGTACAAGACTTACTGGATGAAGATAGATGGAATCAAAGTGTGAAGAAAGTTGCTCAAGTTTCTCAGTGTCAGTCTCCCCCATAGTGCTCCACAGGAGGCCCAGATGTGCAATGGAATGAACCTTCAGTAATTCTTCTTCTGTGGCCGCACGTGACACTAGGGTCTCACAGCGATTCAACAAGCCCAGGTCTTTACACCTATGTATTCAAGAAACAAATAAGATTTGTAAGTTTTAGCTAAAAGAGTGGGAGCTAAGACACAGAGGACATCCTATTTTATTACTGAGAGAAGTCAGATCCCTTCATACAGATCATCCCTGACAGAGCCAGCTTGGTTCTGGGGTTGACTGTGTGCTTCTGCAGGGACACTCTCCTCTACACATTATACTGCAACTGTATAGTCCCCTTAACTATTTCGAGCATGAAGACTATCATTCTGATGTGGACAGATGATCAGTAAGACAAATCTTGAGAGGGGATGAGCTTCATCAGCATGGAGGCAGTAAATTATTCTGGAAAGGACTCAAGACTTCTCTAAACCCTTGGAATTGGTATAAAAGCAGAGATCAGAATCCCTTTAAGTACCTGTAGAGGGAAGTAGATAATTATCTACAAGCCTTCTTTTCAGGCCCTGAAGTTAATAAATAGAATTAGTTTGAAAAACCAATGTTGTCTGAAAGAAAAAGGAAAAAATCTTAAGTACTCAGTGTATATAAAGTGGTTTTCATAGGGTTGACAGCCTATTACGACCTGTGCAAATGTATCACAATGGATACTACTCCTTCAGTACACAAGAGGGCAGTGGCAGGCACTACACTCAATGACATTAACCCTTACGCCCCGGGTGACGTACTAAGACGCACGCCTTTTCCCGCCAGTGTTTAAATACCCAGCGCGAGTTATCAGGTTCCAGTGTGACTATTTGCCTGTCACGCCACACGCTCTGCCACAGGGAAGCTTCCTGAACATAATTACTTACTTTTGTTTGTTTCATTTCCATTGGTTGTCCAATTTATCAAGTTGTATCATAGTAATATTGCTAAAAGTAGTGTACAGTAGTTGAATTGTAGTATTACTGGAAAATATGCTATGATTATGTTATAAATGTATTTATTTGTGGAATTATTATTATTTTATTCATTACTTGCTCTACCAAACACAAAGACAGCCTGGCGACCGACTGCGTGTGTTACCGAGCACTTTTTATGAAAAATTATGCAAATAAAATATTCTAAATGAATTATTTATAGCAAATAAGTATTATGATCAGTAAATATATGCATTACTGGCCATCTCAGACACAAAGGCAAGCTAAAAATAGCTGGTAAGTGCGTAGGTGACCACGAGCGTCAGCTGTCAAAACATGTCCCCTCATCTCCCTCCCTCAGTGCTGCCAGGGAAGTTTCTAGAGGGTCAATATATAGTTTTTCGTTCTTATTTTTTATTGTTTTATTATTTAAAAAGGTTAAAAATTATTTTTGGAAAAGTTTAGATTTTTCTCGATTTACCCCTGGGTGGGGGGTACTGCCAGTGGCACCCTAACCTGGGGCTTAAGGGTTAATATCCTCAACTTTAAAGTGATTTACCCATTCAGAGGTGGGTTGATTAGAGGGGACCCAAAGACCTGAAGTATCACTATAACTACTCGACCATCGCATCCCTTTAAGGGCGTAAACACAGGCAATGGATATTGAAATGAAATATCAAGAATCTATCATGTCAAACTTCAAGGCCAGTTCCTACTTTCTGTGGGAAATTAGTTTACATATATTACTTTACCTTACCAGACCACTAAAGTAGCTTTCACAGGCTCAAGATTTATCTGGAAGATAATATTTCCTCACTTTTCAACCTGCCTCACAAAACATAAGCTCCACAATGTACCTCTCCAAAGTGTGTAATAACCTCTCGGGACACTCGGGGTAGTTCTGGTCCCAGAGGCAGCGATGCTGAGCCATGCGTTCATCATATACTACACCTGTCTTGCCACGCACAATCTTCATACTACCTTGAGCCTGGAATAATAAAAAATGTAACATTAATTTCTCTTCCTTTATCCTTATCCCCTATATTTCCACATAATTTATATGAGAGGCAATAACTGACATAGCCACATAAATGAATATGTTTTCATCAGGCGACGTTAAGCTTCAAATATGTTGATACAAATATAATGAATGCTATGAAGCAGTACAGTGTATAGAACATACCTGCTGGAAAAATGTTTAAGGATTTAAAAAACATCTACTCCTCATATTGGAAAAAAAGTGATATAAACCTTGGCCATGGGATCAAAAATTGGATCTCCTTCCTCCTGAGCAACAGAAGCTTGTCGTTTGAAGACATTCCTGAGTTCTTCGATGGAAATACGGGGTCGAATACCTGCTAATTTACGACTCTTGGAAGTTGGCGCAGCCTCACCTAAAATAGGGTCATTTTCTACTAGGAAGGATACATAATTCATCATATGTCAATAAATAAAAGATATCTATTATACTCTGTAACATTAAACAGGTCTTTCAATACAAAGTTAAACACTGCACTGAAACAAAATAAATAAGAACATAAGAACATGAGAATGGAGGAAACTGCAGCGGGCCTATTGGCTCGTACTGGGCAGTCCCGTTTACACCCAACCCCTATTGCTCATATAAGCATCCAACCTATGTTTGAAGCTATTCAGCGTATTCGAGTTAATGATGATATTTGGTAACTTGTTCCATTCATCCACTACTCTGTTTCCAAACCAGTGTTTACCTATTTCGAGCCTAAACCTAAATTTATCTAATTTAAAACCATTGTTACGAGTTCGCTCCTGGTTGGATAGTTTGAGTACCTTTGTAATGTCCCTTTTGTTTAGCCCTGCCTTCCACTTATACACCTCTATCAGGTCGCCCCTCGCTCTACGTCTCTCAAGGGAGTGCAAGTTAAGATGCTTTAACCTGTTTCTATACTCAAGGTTCCTAATGCCCAGGATTAGTCTTGTCATTCTCCTCTGAATTCTTTCCAAGGATTCTATATCCATTCTGTAATACAGTGATCAGAACTGAACTGCGTAATCCAGGTGTGGTCTCACAAGCGCAAGATACAGTTTTAGGATGACCTCGCTAGTCTTGTAACTAACACTCCTTTGTATGAACCCAAGTACTTTATTAGCCTTGTTACGAGCAAAAACACATTGTTTACTTGGCTTAAGGTTCCTACTTATCATTACTCCTAAATCTCTCTTGCAGTCGGATTTCTCTATGGCATCGTTGTTCATCTGGTATCTGGTTTCCCTGTTTACATCTCCTATACTGAGTACTTTACATTTGTCCACGTTGAATTTCATCTGCCATTTGTCAGACCATTCGAAAAATTTGTTTAGATCTTTCTGTAGTTTTGCGGAGTCCTGGTCAGATTTAATAACACGTCCTATTTTAGTGTCATCAGCAAATTTACTTATGTTGCTGTCTATGCCGATATCTATGTTGTTTATGTATATAATAAATAATAATGGTCCAAGTACTGAGCCTTGGGGAACTCCACTAGTGACGATGCTCCAATGGGACTTAGTGCCGTTAATGCTCACTCGCTGTTTCCTGTCCTGTAACCATGCCCTAATCCATTTAAGGATATTACCTTTGATGCCATGTGCTTCTACCTTTCTAATTAGTCTTTCGTGAGGGGACTCTGTCGAAGGCTTTGCTAAAGTCGAGATATACCACATCATAACTGTTCCCCTCGTCCACCGATTCGAAAACTGATGAAAAGAATGTTAATAGATTAGTTAGACATGAACGCCCGGTTGTGAAGCCATGTTGGGAATCATTGATCAACTTGTGCTTCTCCAGGTGGTTTCGAATAGAGTTTGAAATGATTGATTCTACTAATTTGACTACTATTGATGTTAGACTGATTGGGCGGTAGTTAGAGGATAGTGATCTATACCCCTTCTTGAAAATCGGTATTACATTCGCTATCCTCCAGGATTCTGGTACTACACCTGTTTTTAAGGACATGTTAAACAACTTTGCTAAGGGCATACTAAGCTCTTCCTTACATTCATTTAATACTCTGGCAAATATCTCATCGGGACCAAGTGACTTATTAGGCTTTAGTTTGTCTATTTGCTTACTAACATCGTTACTAGTCACTACTATCTCGCTTAATTTGTTTTCTTCACTATCTCTGAATAGAGTCGGTGCCTCGGGTATCATGTTTAAATTTTTGGTGGTGAAAACTGTTGAAAAATATTTATTCAAATTATTGCTCATTTCTCCGTCGTTGTCAGTGAGCTCGCCGGTATCTGACCGCATTGGTCCAATCTTTTCTCGTGTTTTAGTTTGATACATTTGGTAGAATCCTTTGGGGTTTGTCTTCGCCTCCCTTGCTATCCTTACCTCATTATTCCTCTTGGCTTTCCCTATCTCCGTTTTAACCCTACTCGCCAATACCTTATAATAATTCTGGAGGTAAATTTCGCCACAATTTATCCTTCTACCAATAGCCTTCCATTGGCCAATGATGTTCTTCAAATAATTATTTAACCAAAATCGTTGTCTGATCTGATTTTTTTATATGGTATGTTCTGCCTTTGTGCATTAAGTAACTCATTATTTAAATTGTCGTGGAACTCGGCAATCTCAGATCTTGTTATCAGGTCGGTGTCATCTGTCAGGTTCACGCCCAAGCGCGACATCCCTTCTCTCAGCTGCCTCTTTAAACTGTCAAAGTTTGCCCTTCTGAAATCTGGTACTTTAGTGGAATTTTCCGTATGTCTGCCCTGAAAATCTAACTGGAATCTAATTTCTTTGTGATCGCTGTTTGCAAGTTCGTTCCCTACCTCGACATTGCTAATGAGGTTTTCTCTGTTCGAAGACAGAACTAAATCGAGTATATTATTACCCCGTGTGGGTTCGGTTATATGTTGACTTAGGAAACAGTCCTGGATCGTTTCGAGAAAATCCTCTGATTCTGAGTTACCCGTAAGGTCAGTCCAATCTATTTGGCCAAGGTTAAAGTCGCCTACTATACAGACTTTGTTGTGTATGGAAGCCCTGCGCATTTCATCCCAGATAAGTCGCTCATTAACTCTATCAAGATTGGGAGGTCTATATATTACTCCTGTGATTAATTTTTCCCTATCATCGATTAATTCTATCCAAACTGTTTGTGTATTCCGCTCAGTTTTTATTTCCTTATTTATTTCACACTTCAGATTATCCCTGACATAGATTGCTACTCCGCCTCCTTTCCTGGTCTGCCTATCAGTATGGAACAATTTGTAACCCGCAATTTGGTATTCGACCGGTAACTCACGTGAGTCTAGGTTGACCCATGTTTCAGCGAATGCTATTATGTCGATTTTTTCGGTACATACCAAGGCCCTAATATCATCCATTTTGTTTTTCATACTTCTACTATTCGCGTAGTAGACATTTAAGTTAGTCGTGTTCTGAGTCCTCCCCTTACCGCGTTTAGATTTAAACTCTCTGTCTAATTTAGTTTTGTCATCATTCCTAACACTATTTCCCTGTAATCTTTCACTTTGTTTACCCGCTCCCACGGCAGTCTCCTCCACCCCCGTGCCCATATGTTCCCCTAGCAGTTTAAAGAGTTAAATTGTAATATACAATACTGTAGTGTGGCCTTTAAATACAGTACAGGTACTGTACTTGTAGAATTATATCAAATAAATACAAAATAGTGTACTGTACTGTAATGCCATTTTGCCAGCCTGGACACTTGCCTTACACAAAAGGAACACTTAAAAGTAAATGGAATCTAGTACAGTAGTTGCATCAGCAAACTTCCCATGGAACCCAATATTAACCCACCACGGTGAACTAATTTAGTAGCCAAGATTGACTTTGTGCCGTACGTATGATAGTTGAGGATACAGTAGAAGTATTGAAGATATTTCTCCTGGTTGTCTCATGATGGTGATATATTAATCCTTTTCTGTTGCTTTACACACTTCCTCCCTTTTACTCCTCCTCCTCTGTTAAGTTGATGTACACTTGATCCACCTCACACAAGAGGGAGAAATACTAATAACAGACACTTATCACAATTGTTTTATCTATACTGTACACTGAAACTGAAAAAGTCAGTAAAACTGTGTGTACTGATATTACCATGTACAGTAATGATATTGTATACAGTATTAAATTATCTTAATTTTCAAGCAGAAACTAATTTCCACAAAGTCATCAGCTTCTTCAGAGCCAGATCGCCATATGTGTAACAATGCTTTGGTCTTTATTTAAACCAGAGTCAAGAAAGTTGCAAATACCGGGGTATGTTAGTTATCCTCTTATCTTGTTCCACAGCTTTCATCCCATTCCTCACCAGTTAACAAGTCCTGCTGCCTTACCTCCTTCATTCTCCCCGTTGCTCCCTCCGCCTCCTCCAGCACCCTGCTCTTGTGCCTTCTGGCTCTTCCCTGAGTTCTTCCTTGGAGGCGGGAGAACCTTCTTGTCCTCCATAATTCTGAAAGTACCCCAAAAATATATAATAATACAACACTGCATTATGTAATTCTCCCCATTCTTACTACTGCAGCCCTTTGTTGCTTTGGTGTAGGGAGGTAGCAGAGACTGACCCTCATATATTGTCATTCAGTCTATCTGTCAAAGTTATAATGGGTTCAATATGGGCTTCAGAACCTTTAAAACTAGAGCACAAACTGAGGTAGACTCTGCTGCCACTTGGCATCACAAAAATTGTGACCAAGTCCCAGGTTGCTGATCTGTCTTTCTGCCTCATTTACACACAATTGCAGGGTCTCAATTGTTTCTCTTACTTTGACAACACAACATACATACATCGTTTTCTCACTATTGATATTTTTTTGTATTTACTTATGGTCCTTTATTATTATTATATCATAATATTATATTTTTATTTAATATTATTATTATTATTATTATTATTATTATTACAGTACAGGTATTATATTTTCACCCCCAGGCCCTGATGTGGGTCATTGACCTGTGCTCTGGTAGGCTAATCCTGTAAAAAAAAAAAAATAAAAAATAAAATGAAAATAACTTTAGGGGGATTACGTCTTTAGCATTAACCAATGTAAAAAGTATAAGGACCAGTTAGCAAAAAAAAGTACAGTCTCTTCTCAGCTTGCCAGATATTTTAAAGGGAATTACAAACGAAAACTTTGTCAGTACACAGCGCGATCGCTAACATCGAGACTCAAATATACGTAACGTGAAAAATATTTTATACGACCATGGCCGTCGTATGTCCGGGTTGTCGTAAGTTGAATACAGTGATCCCTCGATTAACGAGTTACCTCCCATAAGATTCTTAACTTCGGTTAACGAGTTTCTTACGAGCTGACCTCAACATGTTTTCGCTTGCACTTGGCAGTCAACCAGCTGTAGTATTAGTCCGCCAATACAGTAATCGGTTCTAGGGCTTAAATTCCTTACTATTTTAGTAAATATCAATAAGTTTATACTATTTAATAATTTTAAAAGTTTAATAATTTCTTTAGTCATTTTAATAATTATGGAACACAATTGAAGGTAAAGTCACCAGTTTTATGCACGCCATCCAGCCTCTTAACACACCAGACAGGCGTTAGTCTCTCTGTTTTCTGTGGAGGTAACATCTTGCTTCAGACTCTCTTCAAGTAAATGCTTTTTTTTCTGTGTTTCCAAGCAAATTATTGGTCATTTTGAAATTTATTTTACATATTGACAATATATAGCGCAGTGCAGTGTTATTTTAAAGAAAATATTCTTTATTTACAGCTAGTTTAAACTTAAAAAATCACGTGTTGACATTGTTTGAATCCAGCATGGGGCCTAAGAGATCAAGAAAAGCGATTTCAATCCAAACCAAGCAGGAAATTAAAAAAAAAAACATGAATAAATGCGCTATGCAAAGAATATGGCATGTCAACATCAACTGTGTCGACAATTCTTGCACAGAAAGACAAATTTAAAGAAGTGAAAGTGAGAGACAAATCTACCAGTGTATAAAAGTAGATTCCTAATCGTAGAAACTGAGAGGTTACTTCTCATCTAGATTAGGGAAAAACAGATGAAAGGTGATTCAGTTTCTACTGAATTCATTTGTGAAGAGCCAGGGAGATTTACGAACATTTAAAGACAGATCAACCTGGTTCTTCAGGCACAGAATTTCAAGATTTTCGGGCCAGCAAAGGCTGGTTCAAAAAATTTAAGAAAAGAAGTGACATTTTCAGTGTTGTTAGGCATGGTGAAGCTGCTAGTGCTGATAAAGAAGGGGCAGCAAAGTTTTTAGTGGAATTTACATAACTGATGGAAGAAAAAAATTATCTTCCACAGCAAGTGTTCAATGTGAACGAAACTGAGCTGTTCTGGAAAAAGATGCCCAAAAGAACATTCATCACCAGAGATGAAGCCTCTTTACCTGGGCATAAACCCATGAAAGACCGTCTCACTCTATTGCTTGGTGCCAATGCTTCAGGGGATTTCCGACTGAAGCCTATGCTTGTCTACCACTCTGAAAACCCCAAGGTGTTCAAGCAACAGAAAGTGGTAAGAACAAAGCTTGGAGTTTATTGGAAGTCCAACCGTAAGGCATGGGTGACAAGACAGTTCTTTAATGAATGGGCTGTTGATGTGTTTTGCCCCTCTGTCAAGAGCTACCTAACCACCAATAAACTCCCTTTAAAGGCTCTTCTCCTCATGGATAATGCTCCTGGTCATGACCCTGACCTTGCCAGAAATTTGGAGTATCAATTTGACTTTGTGAAAGTGTTGTTTTTGCCTCCAAACACGACATCAATCATACAGCCAATGGACCAGAATGTAATCAGCAACTTCAAGAAGTTGTACATGAAGAAAATGTTTAGGAGGTGTCATCAGACAACTCCCAATGATCCTGAACTAACACTGAAACAGTTCTAAAAGACACAATTCAACATCCTGGAGGCTGTAAAATTGATTGTGTCATCATGGCAAGAAGTCTCCACTAGATCCCTCAATTCTTCATGGAAAGCATTGTGGCCATCAGTAGTCCATGATTTTGAGGGATTTGAGGAAGAAACAGCGTTGGACCAGGAGATTGTGTCCATTGGTCAGTCATTGGGCCTTGAAGTGGAAGAGGATGATGTCGAAGAGATTGTGATGTCTCATGAGGAGGAACTTACTCCTGTTGACTTGAAGCAACTGGATGAGATGTTAGAGGCTGACAGTGGTGAGGAGGAAATTGAAAGTGATGACCATATGTCAAATAAAGAGTTGAAAGATGTGATTTACCACTGGGAGAAGTTCAGGGAACTGGCTTCAAAGCACCCAGATGTGGAAAAAACTGAACTAACTTTGTGTCATGTTGAGGACTCAATGGTCTCCTTCTTTAAACATAAGTTAATGGCGAGGAGGAGAGATGCCCCACAGACCACAATTGACACTTTCTTCAGTAAAAGGCAGAGGGAACAAGATGCTATCCCTCAGCCTTCCACTTCAAGAAGGAGAGAGGATGTTCATGGAGAAAATGTCAGTCCAGAGGTTCCTGACATTTTCATGGAAGGTGACCCACCTTCCAAGAAGCAGTAAAATGCTTCTCCTCCTGCACCTCCCACTTCAAATTCACATCATCATCATCATCCAGGAGCCTTCTACATACACACCTCAAGATAAATGTCAATTTCTAAAATTGTTGTTGAATTTAGGCAATTTTCGGTGAGCTGGAACCAATTACCCAAAAACCCATTGAAACAATGGTTTCGGTTAACGAGCAACCTGCTGGAACGGATTGTGCTCGTTAACCGAGGGACCACTGTATGTCTTAAGTCGAGGAGAGACTGTATACTAAAAATCATGATACTGTACAGATTGATGTATTAAAGGACTGTACAGTATTTGGTTAATAATGAATCACCATAATTTTTTTTCAACCACGACTTAAGCATTACATTCTAAGACCTTAAAATATCCCAGATGGATGCCATTATCAGCCTCCACCAATCAAAACTAAAGCTGAACAAATAGTGGAAGTAAGTAAGGATCCAGACAAATATCCACTACCTACATGATGCTTGATGATGACAGATATTCAGGGTGTAGCCTTACAGATGATATATGAGTGTTAATGTTGTAAACGAACTAATGTTTTTGGGTCAGTGTAAGAAGTTAATTTAATAAATGGGTAAGCCTGATAACCCGTTAGTGACTCTGGATACAACACTTGTAGGTGGTGGGGATAGGTCATATCTCCATAACTATTAATTTTTACCAAAAATGAAGGTTAGGTTATTTAAATCACCAACAATTATACAAGAAGCACCAGTAAAGGTGGAGTATAGATAGCCAACACCAGGAGAAGCTTAAGGAATTGGACCAAAATTTCCAGAGATGTTGTTTGGATTATAGTAAGTAATAAAATTGATACGAAAATGCACAGAACCTGACCTAACTTAGCCAAAAATTTTAGTACATATAACACACGGATTTGAACATATAATCAATGACTTCACCAGCCAGGACTCGAACCTTAGACCTTATGCGTGCGACCAGGGAACGCTAGCGATCATGCCACAAGGACACTAAAAGCAATCCTAGACTATGTTATATTTCATACAAAGCCTGTTCATCGAGCTGATGGCGCCGTGAACCTCCCATTGGGGATTGCCCATGCCATATATATATACAGTTGTACCCCGCTTAACGCGGTCAATTGAACCCACAGGGAACCGCGTTAAGTGAAAACCGCGTTAAGTGAACAACAGATCATATGGGGTTAATTCCAATAGAGACTGGCCCGACCCCCAAACTCCACTTTTTGACGACACACAACTATGTTGTAGTAAAAATATTATCTTAACTTTATGATGGTATGCACACACAATTAATAATTCAGAGAAATATCAATAATATTAGGTTTTTTAACACTTACATTAGTAGAAAAGATGGCTGGGCACACTGGGATGGGCGGTTGGTTCCGAGGCAGAGGGCAGATTATTGGCTCTCACCTGTATCAATTGTATCACTATCCACCACAGAGGCTTGAAGGGCCTCTTTGTCAAACCCCTCAAAGTCCATATCCTCACTATAATTATCACTATCACTGACTTGGGCCGGCTGTGGTGGGTGGCGGGTGAAGAACTGGTAATGCTTTGATGACTGGGCGACCTTGTGCGCATCGTGCCCGCGCCGCTTCCCGCGTATATGAGTAGATGAACCGCGTTAAGTGAAAGTTCAGTTCTGGCGAGGGATCTCGTATATGCGAAATCGCGCTAAGTGAAACCGCTAATAACCACAAGGAAAGAAGAAAACACGAAGTTCCCAAGCGCTTTCGTGTAATTCACATCTTCAGGGGTGAGTACAGACTAAGAAGTACATAACAAGGTGTATACATACAGAGGAGGATGAGATCAGGTTCACAATGGTCAGGTATTAGGTAATGACCCTACTAATCTTTAAATAGCACCGAAACGGTCGGTAGTCAGGTCAGAGGGTAAGGTGGCCCAACCTTCTCAGCTGGTT